GTCCCGACAACACCAGAACAAACCCACATGTCAGACAAATGTGTGTTTCTGAGTTCGTCGATGGTGTCGTTCGACCCATTAAACCTGTGTCGGAAACGATATCGTTAAAAAACTCGATCTTCTCGCTCCTCATGTTGCCATCAGTGTGTAAAAAACTCGATTGTCGCATCATGAGAGGAGGAGGAGGAGGAAAAGGAGGAGGAGGGTGATGATGATGATGATGATGCCATCGCGAGGGGCCTCTTGGGGTCCGCCTGGACCCTTTTGGGGGCCTCTGGGGTCTTGGAGCCCTGCGACGTCAACCAGGAGACCCGACACCCGAAGACTCGAAACCTGGCGCTCCCCTCTTCCCTTCCCCTCCGTGTTTGCAACGCGGAAGGTGGCGCGCACGGCACCTATGTCTGTCACACAGGTATGCGCCGATCGGACAGCGGCTGTAAGTGCAAAGCAAGGGCTCGGGTGGGCGCTGCACGCGCGCTCTCGGAAGCAGCGACGGTGCGGCCGATTAGAGTGCGAACGCCTCGACTAGGGATGCGACGCGGTTGCCATGTAAGGCAACTCCAAAACTTGAAATGACACTGCATAGGCGCAACTGACATCACGCGTAAAAGAGACCGCGCATCGCGCGGTCGACGCGACGATCGTAGCTTGCGAGCACCTCTCACAGTGGGGCCACAATATGAGTTATTCTGCCAGCAGCCGACGGATGGCGGCGGTCGGGGTCGAAAGAGTAGCCGCCCTGGACATCGCATATGGCCGCGGCGTCGGCCCACCAAAAGGCCTACGACTGGTTCGGGTCAATCCTTGCACGCGGAGCCAGCGTGGCCTGATCTCACCGATGGCATTGTGCTCGGGCAGCCGCATCGGGCACACGATGACGTCACGCGGTGTCTGGAGCACTGCACTGAGGGCAATGATCCACACAAGGCGGGGGTGGAGCACTGCCCAGTGGGCGGTGCTCCACCCGCGCCGTGTGATGTCACTCCGCGCGCGCCGTGCACCCATGGACTGTCGCGGACGCCCCTGCACAATGCTGCATCGCGAAATCAAGCCGCGCGAGCTTCCGCGCCGATGCTCCTGTTGCGCGCGTTGCGAACGCAGGTGTGCACGAAGGCCGACGGGTTGCGCACGTCCTGGCCGTCCGCGCGGTGCTTCAGCAGCTTGCTGATCACATGGTTAGCGGCCTCCACCCCGCCCTGGGGCAGCTGGCTCAGGAGGAACAGCTCCATGCGAGCGGTGTCGTCGACGCCCATGCCCACCATCACGCTCTTCCAGTTCGCGACGTCGAAGACGGTGGTCTCCCACGTCTCTGCCGCCTGCGGGGGCCGATGTCTCGAACGAAACGGGTGGAAAAGAGGAATGAATCGCAGGACATAGTTATGTAAGCTTTTGGGGGGAGTGCTGCAAAGCACAAACCTTACATAACTCCTCCGCAGGACATAGTTATGTAAGCTTTTGGGTGGAGTGCTGCAAAGCACAAACCTTACATAACTCCTCCGCAGGACATAGTTATGTAAGCTTTTGTGGGGAGTGCTGCAAAGCACAAACCTTACATAACTCATGCCGCAAAACATAATGATGTAAACTTTGGGGACAGTGCCTAAAATATCAAACCTGGGACGTGTTGTATCTCCAGGCTCGATGATGTTGGTGAGGATGATGGTGATGGTGATGGTAACGGTGTGGATGAGCAGGCGGAGGCATGAGGAAGAGGAGGAGGAGAGCCGTCACATGTGACACCTTCTGGCCTTGGGCCGTCTTGGGCCTCTTGGGGGTCCTTTGGGGCGTCTTGGGGCGTTTTGGGGGCCTCTTGGGGGCGTCTTGGGCCGTCTTGGGCCATCTTGAAGCCTTTTGGGCCGTTTGCCTTTTGGCTCGTCTGGAGGGTCTTTTGGACGTCTGGGGCTCCACAAGGGCCCCAGGAGGGCCCCGAGAGCGCTGCAAGAGGGCTCGAAAAGGGCCTAAATCTTAACATAAATTTAACCGAACGTGCTCTTCAACAACGAAATGGTTGGGTGCCTCTCAGGGCTTTCAAGCAACCCCCGAATGCCTCCACCACCTCCTGGCGCGCTGGCGCCGCTGGCGCGCAAGGCCGCGGGTACAACGGCGGCACTACCGTAGGCGTGTGCGGGGGCCCAGCAAGGGTGGGCGCCTTCGGCGGGGTCGTGGGAGCCCTTGGAGCCGACGTTGGAGCCACCTCCGCCGCTGGAGCCGTCGTGGGGGTAGTGCTCATCTTGCGGCGCTTCCACGGCGGCGGCGCCGTCGGCGGCCGCGGCGTAGGCAATGGGGGCGGCGTGGACGGGCCCGACGACGACGGCCTCGGCCGCTCCTCAGGGGCACGCTCCTCGCCACCGAGCTTGTCATCGCCCTCGGCAGTGGCCGCGACCACTTCGACGTGCGAGTCAACGTGCGTACTCATCAGTAGGACGTGGTCGCTGATGATCATGTCCTCGCCCCTGCCCATGACCACCATGGCATCCCACATCATGTCCCAGTTGTACTGCGACTCCCGACTCTGCACCACGACGTCATGACCGCACGACTTCGCCGATGGCGCCTCGATCAGCGCCTACGGGGATGCCGCCCACGACCGCGCGCGAGCAATCAACGGCTCAAACTCGCGACCCTTCGCCCCGAACATGTGGAACGCCTGGCAGTTGAACACGCGCGCGCCGTCCACATTCACAAAGTAGTTGAGGCAATCTTTGAGTGCACGTCCCATGACGTTAGACCTGTGGCAGCCTTTATTGCACCCAACCAACGCGATCACGCCCGTCATGTCGTCGTTGTAGAGAAGCACCTCCCCGCACGTGAACACGTTGCGGACAACTTCCATGAGCGATGGGCGGAATGACTCCTGGTTGAACACGCTGAGAATGGTCTTCGGCACCGTCCCGTCCTCCGCGAAGTTGACGCCGAACTCCGTGTGCGGGTCGCGCATGCTCGCCCTCAGGTCGATGGAGCAAGTGGCAATGGTGTCGTCGCTCTGGAGGTGTGCGCGGTCCACTGCATCGCCGTGAACTGCCTGCCCGAACGTCAGCACGGCAACTGGGATCGGCAGGACGCCTTCCACGCGGGCCGGCATGGATGCCATCGCGGCCGCAATGCGGCTGCCGCGCCGACGCGAACGCCGAACCTTCTCAGAGCACAAACGGCATCAGCATACGGAGACGATGGGGATTGATGACGATCGCGGTTCGGCGATCGCCGCCGCGCGTGGCCAGCTGCATGTACGATTGCGCGAGCACCCCATGGCGCGTGCAAGCAATAGTCCCAACAACCTTCTTGGCGTGGGTGGTTTGGCGTGTCCATCTTGTAAGCACGTTATTCCGACTGGCCCCGCCCATCTTGTTTCCCATAGGACTTATGATGGTTTGGACCCCAGCGAGGCCACACTAGATGACTTATGAGGGTTGAGGGCCCCAGCGAGGCCACATCAGAGGACTTCTGTGCGAAAGGAGGAGGGGGCACTTTTGAAAATGTCTGCAGGGGCGTCGTTCCTGGATTGGCTGGTGGGGATGCGCGAAGCGCCAAGAATTTGGACGCGCACCGACGAGCGACGATGCATTGACGACAGGCGGCGGCATTCTCTGGATTACATGTGTACTCTATGTGCAGCGAGCGACAGCGACCTCTGGCCATGCATACAAAAGTCTGGCGGGATGGCGTATGATCGCGCAACCCCTGCGCAACCGCCCCCGAAACGCATCCCGCATCGTGCTGTCGAGCAACAAATGCCAGCGACACACGCACACACACACGCATGCTACGCATCATGCTCACACGTCACTTGGCGATGGGCGCGCGGGGAGTGAAATAGCGCTTGATGCCGCGCTCCGCCTTCACAGGCGTCTCAACGGGCTCTGAAGGCTGGTCGGCATCTTGATCGGGCTCTTGAGGCTGGTCGGCATCTTGATCGCTTTCCTGGCCAACGCCCTCATCAGGCTGATCGTCATGACCTTGGGGCGCGACCTCGCCGATCTGCCAAGACTGGGCGCGCTGCGCGGCCTTCTCCAGCGAATGATCGTGCTCGTCAAGCCTGATGTACTTGGCGGCCTTGCCGTTCTCGCCCAACCTCTTGAATGCCCGAACGCAGTCCCGACCGTTCTTCGTGGTGACGCCCATGCGCGCGAGGCCCATGTGCTCGAACAAGGGGTCCCTCTCTTTCTTTGGGGTGACACCGTCATGAGCGTTGAACTGCACCAGCATCACCCTCCCCAGGTACGCGAGCGTGTCGGTGTTGAGCTCCACGAGAAGATCAGGCGCGCCAGGCTTGTTAAGGACGACCTTCATGTTGCGGGAGGGCTCCTCGCCAACGGCAGGCAGCGTGATCTCCTTGAACGTGTCCTCAGCCGTGATGAGAAGCACGTTCGATTGCCGGTTCCAACGCTTGTTCTTGACCTTGCACTCCTTGTACACAAGCTGGTCCTTGAGCTGACGGATGTCCTGGACAATCGTCGTCCGACTGACTGGCCTGTCGCATTCCTTGCTGCGGAGGCCGTGTAGGAACAGCTGGTCAGCAATCCTGCCCTTGGACAAATTGAAAAACCTCTCGCCCTCAACTTCGTGCACAGAGAGGTACACGCTGGCGCCATCGTCGCTGGTGACGCGCACCGCTGGCTCGATGCGGAAAGCCATCTCTGCGAACCCCTGCAGAGCAAAAACGGCTACAGAACGGACGATCGAACATTGACAATCGAGTCTGCGTCGAACGCAGCGCACTCGAAGCCGCTCGATTGGAGGCGAACCCGAAACGATGCAACATCGATATGCGATCTGCGCGTTTCGTCGGACGGATCTGGGACGCAACGCCCGCATCCCAACTGATGTTCATATCACGATCGCGGCCTGCTGCAGGCGGCGATGGAAAGGGAAAATTGGCCCTCGCAGTGGCCGAGCGCTGACGGCCCTCGCGCTCCGCACCCCTACGGCGATGACTCAAACTCATACGATCGTGCCCCAGGCCTCCTCACCCAGAACTTCCTGATCGCATGAACCAGGGCTCACTTGCTCTTACGGGCCCTCTTGGACTCGAGGACGGGCTCCGAGATGTTGTCCTTCTTCTTAGTCTCCGCGGCATCCATGTGAAGCACGAGCTCATCGTAAGCGGCGACTTTCTTGAAGTTCGTCGCGCAAAGGATGACGATGTCAATGTTCGGGCTGACGCTCCGATCACCAACCACGGGGCGCCTCCCCCTCACACTGAACTCCTTGAGCTCGCAGTTGCACAAGGACTTGTCGGACTCCACTCGCATGCACCAGAACTGGCACGTGAACTCGTCGGTCGGAGGCGCTGGCATGATGAACATCTTCGGCGCGCCGTCGACTGGAATGGCGACCTCGATTGCCTTGGGCGGGCACGTCTTGATGGTCTCGGACTGCGGTGCAATTGACCGAGAAGCAGGCACGGCGACGTAACATCCCACGCCGAACGCCTTGGACGCCAGGACTGCCCTGCATGGCCTTTTCATGGGGAGTGCGCTCTGCACGCCGTACTTCCGAAGGAGCGCGTTCAAGGCGCCAAACACCATGCCCTTGAACTCATGGTTGGCCATGTCCTTGTCGTTGGCCGCATCGTTGCCAGGGTAGCCTCCTACGAACTCCTTCGCCTTGCACGTCTTGTACGTCTCCTCGATTTCCGACAATGTCTTGGAAATTGTCGCGTCGTCAATAGTGCCATCTGGTTTCACCATCTTGAAGCTGACCACCCCGCCATCCGAGACGTCGACGATTTTCCACATGTCCTGCATTGCAGCGGACACGCCAGCACGGGGCTTGCGAAGTTGCAGGTGCACGCCCTCCGTGATGTCCTTGTTGAGCGCGGTCGTCTTGCCCAGGCCCGACGTCTCGCCGCCCTCGGTGTACTGCACGAAGTTCGCGCCGCCCGATGCCGAAGGAGATTCAGCGACATCGGTTGGCAGCTGCATCGCCGCCGCGCCCTCGCCCACCTTCGAGACGAACTTCTCGAGGATCGTCTGCAGACTGGTGGGCTGCTTGCCCTTGTCCTTGCCGACGCCCTTGCCTTTGCCCTTGTCCTTGTTCCTCTCGAGGAGGAAGTCTACGATCTCGATCATCAGATCGCCCTTGGTCGCCTCCACGGCGGCTGGGTCCATGGACGACTCGGCGAGCATCTCCTTTGCGCGCATGAGGGCGCCGTTCGCCTTCATCACGGTGGCGCGCTTCTCAGGCTTGCTCAGCGTAGCCAAGTCTTTGCTCGTGACGTTCCTGGCGAAGCCGTCGTACACGTTATCCTCGGACGCCGCGTGTCGAAAGAGCACAGCATTTATCACGTGTGCAGGCGTGGCGTCAATGGGAAATTTCAAATCAGCCAAAGCCTTGAACATGCTGCCTGACACCACGCGGTCGGAAGGCACGAAGTGGTTCAGAAGAGGCGTGGGCTCCTTGATCAAGCCGCCGCTGGGCATGCCGCCCCACTTCTTGACGTACTCGACCATGTCTGGCACGTCCACAGCCCTGGGGGGGTTGAGACTTCAAAACCTTCTTGGCCACCTCTTTGAAGTCAGGCTGCGGGCCCATGGACGACGCGGCGTCGACGATGCTCAAAAGGTTCTGGTACCATGTCTCGCCTGGCGCGACTCCCCCTCGGCCCCCCTCGCTCCCACCACCCCCGCGACGCACGACAAACTCCAATGCCCCCCTTCCCCCACTCCGAACGGATATACGCATGCCGAGTGCATGTACATATCATTAAACATATATTTGAAAATTGCTAGACTGCCTTCGGACGTCTGCTGCACGGTGTTCAGGGCACCGCCGACGATATGAGCAACGTTCGGCAACGCTGCGTGGACAACCCACTTCACGACCGTGAACTTGACGCCCACCTCGATGGCATTCCTGAGAAGGCCATGCTTGTCTCGGCTGCAGACAGTGTCGATGTGCATCTTGCCGTCCTTCGTCAAGTCGTCGATGTCGCTCTCGACGCCGTCGTGCACGCATGCAAACCCATGAAGTGCGTGCGTTGCCCCCCATGCTCCCACCCTGATCTCCTCCTCCTTGTAGTTCGCAAAGCATGCATGCGTATCGCATTTCTTCGCCGTGTATTTGGCGTACTCCCTCGTGTACGGGTTGTCTTCTCCCGCCACCGCGTTGTTGGCAATGGCCGCCAAAGAAAACCCTGACGTTTTGATGACCTGCACGCGCCCGTGAGCCCGACGCCACTGAACGCCCTCGCCACCGCGATTCCGCTCCCATGCGCCGACCTGCTTGGAGTGATACACCTGCTCGAAAGATTGCGAGTGCTTCTTGCAAATGTCCAAGATGCGATCTTTCAGCTCAACGTTTCCAGAACTTGAAGTGGACGCCGATGCATCCCACTCGTCACAAATCTGTTTAAGCTCTGAAAAGCACGGCGTCGACTTAAAAGCCGCGATGCATTGCTCCATTGTCGTCGCCATGCTGGCGTGCAGACGCGACAAGCGAAAGCGTGATCAGACGCGAGATGGTGATCAACCGCGACAAGCGAAAGCGTGGACAAGCGAAAGCGTGATCAACAGTCGCCTCAACAGACTGAGCCATCATGTGGCACGGACAACGACATCGACAGAATTATTTCTAGTGCAACTGCGAAGCGCAATCACCGACACGCGAACACAGCGACGACCCGATGCGACTCCACGAACACAAACATGACATCCGACGAAAGGACAAGCGTGACATTCTCCAGCCGTGATACTGCGCGCATGCATGCTCAACCGACAGGCGATACTTCTACACAGCGCCATTGCACATTGACTAGAGACAACGCGTCGGATGTCGAACGCTGCAGATTGGCTACTACACTGGCGGAGGACCCAACCATGCGCAGTTGCGAGACCCGCATTTGTGAGAGTATCGTCTTCGGATGAGGATAAAGGTTGGAGGGGGCGCGTGGCGCTGTCTTTGCAAAACGAAGACCCAAAACACATGATGACAGAGAGTCCTACTAAGGATAGGTCATCGTCTTAGTGGTCTCATCGCACGCGGGCGTCATGTGATTCGCATATCGACGCCGAATGTTTCTATTTACTTGGAGGGCCCTTTATTTTTTGAGGGGGGACCTGTATACTTTTCGGGTGGTCACATCTACTTTTTTGGGGTCATATATATAGTTTTGTGTTGTACTTGTTGGGGCGATCCACTATGTGTTGAAGGGGTCATTCATTCTGCTGGGAGGGTCCCATATACGTTTCTGTTTTTCGTCGTCAGGTTATAACTAAGTTAAGTTGCCCGTGCATAAGTCAATCGCAACCCATCCAACCATTCGCTTTTACTTCCTAACCCCCGTGGGGGTTAGTAAACGTTGCGGCTGCGTTAGGCACGTTGGAGCAGACTAACTACCACGTAACAACAGGGTTGGCCGAAGATGCAACAGCGTTGCAAGCAAGCGAACAACGAAGCAGACGGCCCCCGGACGGACCCCGGACGGACGACGGACCCCGGACGGACCCCGGACGGACTGACAACGGACGGACTGACCCCGGACTGACCCCGGACTGACCCCGGACTGACCCCGGACTGGCCCCGGACTGACCCCGGACTGACCCCGGACTGACCCCGGACTGACCCCAGACTGGCCCCGGACTGACCCCGGACTGACCCCGGACTGACCCCGGACTGACCCCGGACTGGCCCCGGACTGACCCCGGACTGACCCCGGACTGACCCCGGACTGACCCCAGACTGACCCCGGACTAACCCCGGACTGACCCCGGACTGACCCCGGACTGACCCCAGACTGACCCCGGACTGACCCCGGACTGACCCCGGACTGACCCCGGACTGGACCCCGCCGGACTGACCCCGGACTGACCCCGGACTGACCCCGGACTGACCCCGGACTGACCCTGGACTGACCCCGGACTGACCCCGGACTGCCCCCGG